CAGCAATTAAGAGGTACGCACCTCAAAGCCTCCTGATCAGAGGCCTAGCTGTTGGACGTAGTTTATCGTCTTACCCAGGACGCGGATGTAGTTTATCGTCTAACTCAGGACGGTCTTTCATTAAGCTTTTAATTTATTATAAGATTTATGTGATATCTTGTAAATATCTCAATAGGTTAGTTCTTAAAAGTGTCATAGTTGACCAATGGAGCACGCTTTCAGAAAATAGCCTAAGAATAGTGATCACAGCATGGTGTGGCCTAGCTCTGTCAGTCCTAGCTAGTGGCACTAAGAAATTTAGCTCGTCTGAACACCTGTCATAGCAATAGCGACTGAGTAGTGAGAAGCTAGCAACGTTTCATCTGTGAGGTTAGGGTTTCAAGGTGGAGGATAATTCATCACCCACAAGGCAGCGGAATCTCTTTTGAATTATGTCGAGACTGGAGAGTAAACACATGTCCATGGTTAAAATTAAGATTGCATCTCTGGAAATATGCATATATGGCAATAATCTGAGTTATACTTAATTATTAACGGCCTAGCTCTGTCAGTCCTAACTAGTGGCACTAAGGAATGTAGCTCGTCTGAACACCTGTCATAGCAATAGCAACTGAGTAGTGGAAGGCGAGCAGTGTTTTGACTGTCATTCACAAAGACGTGTAATCCCTTTTGAACTATATCAAGGCTGGGCAGAGAGTATTGGACAACACCAGCTGAGATAGTGATTTTCTAGGCGTAGCTAAGATGTGGCACAAGGCCGAAAGAAAGGGGCACCCAGTGAGAATCGAACTCACTGTTCAGTCGTAATTGTTCTAGCGAGACAAGCTTGCTAACCATTACACCGCCACGAGGTGCCCAAACACCAGATGAGTTATGGCAGCAATATGCCATTCTTCGTCTGATCTGATTCTTTTCAAGATAAATGATGGCAGCTGAGGTTGGCTATATTCCGGAGCGATACGAGGAAACGGTGATTCTTTCAGCAGCTTTGGCACAAATATTCCATTTGAATTCGGGGATCAGCTTTAGTAGGCGTTCGTGTCAAGAAGCTTCTTTGACGGTATGACCACTCCTCAGGAATGGCGCGAATTTAGGGTCTATTTTTATTAAAATGGTGGTCCAAGAAAAATAAAAGCGATCTTAACATTGGCCAAACATATGAACGCAGTCAGATTTACAGCATCTTTTACGACGGTACCAATATAGGTGTTGTATTTCAGATCGGGAGTGAGATTTAGATCCACTAGGCGTTCAAGTCAAGAAACCTCTTTGAGGGTATGACCACTGCATCAGATTTGCTGAAGGTTTAGGTTTTTTTCAGTCTTGAGTTTTAATCTATTATATGTTTTATGAGATTTTTATAAGTATCCCTATACGTTAGAAATTTAAAGCTTCGTATTAGATCAATGGTGCACACATTGAAAAAATGTTATAAAAATTATATTGCCTTCTCATTATATATTCGTCTGGCCCTTTTCATGACAACTCCATTCTGATTTAATTTATCTTAAATTTTAGTATATTCTAATAAATATCTCTTATTTTAGCACTTGCAATAGTCATCTCATTACATTCACTTTCGTGCTTATATCCTTAGAAAAGGTATGAATCCTCTTCTCCATCCCCTAGCTATGGGTAGATAGTAGGAGAGACAGTGTTCTATAGCCTTGGATGGCAACTGGTCTACCGCAGAAAGACATGGCAACCTACTGCAGGAAAAAATCTGCCTTGTCAGTCATGTATCGAAAGATACATGATCGCCTAAGCGTGTATGACATTTGGCACATAACTGAATCGGAGAGCCGAATTCGAATTCCAGTCGAATAGATTACATTCACTTACGTGCTAATATCCTTAGAAAAGGTATGAATCCTATTCTCCCCCACATCTATGGGTAAATAGTTGGACAAAGCGAGTTCTATAGCCTTGGACGGCAACTGGTCTACCGCAGAAAGAAATGGCAACCTACTGCAGGAAAAAATCTGCCTTGTCAGCCATGTATCGATCATGATCGTCTAAGCGTGTACCACGCATGGCACATAACTTAATCGGAATGGCGAGTTCGATTACAAATGAAATACATTACATTCTCTTACGTGGTAATAATTTTGGGAAAGGTATGAATCCTCGTCTTCTTCACCCAACTATGGGTAAATAGCAGGACAAACCGGGTTCAGTAGCCTTGAATGGCAACTACTCTACCGCAGAAAGAAATGGTAGCCTACTGCGGGAAAACATCTGCCCCGTCAGTCATGCATCGAAGGATACATGATCGCCTAAGCGTGTATCACGTATGGCACATAACTTAATAGTCATCTTCAGCCCAAAATGGAACATTTCCTTCCTTAGGTACCCTGAGCAATGCACGCTTAGGTTGTTGTATCTCTGAAGTTTCCGATATGGTAAATAGAGTTTATGAATTGAAGCTCTATACTAGATTGGCAACAAGCTACGGAATATATTTATAAGTCTACCATTCGTCCATGCTTTTGGATATTGTTTTCACATATAATCCAATACATCAGCTATATAGTTAAAGTTTCTTGATAAAGCCCAAATAAAATCTGCAATGTTATTAGACCTGATCTGTCATCTCGGCTTCAGTTAGTTTTCCACTGTCGAAACGTGGCTTCCCTGTGGTTTTTCTATAAATACTTTCATGGTAAGTATTCTGATTTACTTTCCGCTGTGGTACCTGGAATTTAAGCGCAGTACTAGATTGGCAGCTAGGTCTCATCATTTACAGTTGAATTGGCTAGATGGAATCGTAAGTTCTATGCTAACTATTTCTTAATCTGATAAGTATGTTCATGGTTATTATTCTGATGAGCTATCCTCTTTGGTACCTAGACTTTATGAATTTAAGTGCAGCACTAGATTGGCAGCTAGGTCTCATCCTTTTACAGTTGAATTGGCTAGATGGAACCGTAAGTTCTATGCTAACAGTTTCTTCTCCCGCGCTTTTCGTTTGTGAAAATCTCTTCCGGCTTCTTTCTTTCCATCTTTGATCTTCAAACATTTAAATGCAATGTCAATCATTATCTACTGTCTTCTTGATTCCTCTTCTTTTATTTTTCTCGCTCCTTCCTAATGTTTCGATTTTTCTTTGTGTCTTAGTTTTTTTATTGCCTTGCTTGGGGTGAAAAGATTTAAAAAAAAACAAGTATACATTATTTTTTATACACAGACATTGAACTGAAATAAATTATTGACAGAAACATTCCTTACCTCTGGCATTTTTTAAAAAATTTGAATTAAAAATAAATAACAGTGGTTAGATATTAATTAAAATGTCTTCTTGAAAGCCGTTATGCAAATTAAATATTATCGCTTATTCTGCAAACGCAATTTGATAGTACTCTATATAAAAAAGTAACAGTGAATTCGTTATATTTTCGCGATGTGAACAAAGTAAATTTTATCTTTCAATTGTGTTTTCGGACAGAACACAACAAATAAATGAGGGATCTCTGATCGCGGGTTTCCAATCCTGCGGCAGTACCCCCCCTCATTGAACCAAAGACGGTGAGGCGGTGGAATATCGACGCCAGCACGATATTTGTTGCGGGCACTGGGAAATGTGTGAACAACCCACGTGTACTCACTCCACATTTAAACCGGCCTTGTGCCATATCTAGCCACCATAGGTGAGGTTCGAGTAAAGTCCAAGTGCAGTATCTGCTCTTCACCACAATGCCGTGTTTTTGCCTTCGGTCAGTTCGCGGAGATACGTTGACAGATGTCTGGTTCCGGGGATTCCAATTCTGCGGCAGCACCTCCCCATTCCGAAAGTTTTAGCTCTGCGCCTATATTTATGGGCATGGACACCTTACGTTAAATTTGTGGTATCAAATCAATGTCACTGGCGATTAAATTTTATGTTAACGATAATGAGGATAGAGGGATTAGAAAATTTGATACTCACAAGACAGACTGAAGACAATAGAGAGAGATTAAAACAACGCATAACCTAACTAACAAGATGGAGTAAATGAAGCTACAAAGGACAGGATATTGTGGAGAGCCATGACCGCCAACGTCCTGAAGAGACACGGAACATAGAGAAAGTAGAAGAGCGAGATTGAGTAAATGGATGGCGGAACAAGGTTTAGGAGAGATAACAAATCGACAAAATTTATTAAGAGCTATAAAGGGCAGGAAATTGTGGAGAGCCATGATCGCTTACGTCCTGAAGAGACACAACACACAGAAAAATTAGAAGAATAAGCTTGAATAAATGGATGGCGGAACAAGGTTTAGGAGAGATACGAAAAGACAGAATTTATTAAGAGCTACCAAAGGCAGGAAATTGTGGAGAGCCATGATCGCCAACGTTCTGAAGAGACACGGCACATAGAAAAAGTAGAAGAATGAGCTTGAATAAATGGATGGCGGAACAAGTTTCAGGAGAGATAAGAGACAGACAAAGGACAGGAAATTGTGGAGAGCCATGATCGCCAATGTTTGAAGAGAAAAAGCACATAGAAAAAGTAAAGAACGAGCTTGAATAAATGGATGGCGGAACAAGTTTCAGGAGAGATAACAAAAAGGGAAAATTTATTAAGAGCTACAAAGGGCAGGACATTGTGGAGAGCCATGATCACCAACGTCCTGAAGAGACACGGCACATAGAAAAATTAGAAGAACGAGATTGAGTAAATGGATGGCGGAACGAGGTTTAGGAGTGTTAACAAACAGACAATTTATTAAAAGCTACAAAGGACAGGAAATTGTGGAGAGCCATGATCGCCAACGCCCTAAGGGGACGCGGCACATAGTATAAGAAAAACAGTAGAAATATGTTGAAGGTAATACTAGTCAAAAATAAATAACAATTCATATTACTTAATGTAAGATGCGTAGAAGACTTAAAGTGATAAATACTATGCGAAAAAGAAGAATTCGTTGTACATTTTAGAGTTGATACATTATTTTTTACCGAATTCTGTGAAATACGGTTGACAATTCAGTGATTATGTTACCAGCTGAATTAAAAAAAATTACCCGATAAAAACAATACAAATGACAGAGGCTAGAATTTGGTAGAATTCGGGAAGAGATAACAATTCTATAAAAGAAAGAGAAAAGTGAGAAAAAAAAAAAATGGAACCAATAGCGAACTGCAGGCAAGTATCCTGATCAAAATGTTCGCATATCTTCCGGTCAATAAGAAATGCGAACAAGAGAAGAAAAAAAAAATGGAAAGTGTAGAAGAATAAAAATATGGCATTGAAGAAAAATAAGCGGGAAGAAAAAAAATGGCGGGGTAAAGAATGAACTGTATAGCAAAATGTAAGGAAGGGTGGAAGGAAAAAAGGGTGGACAATGAAGAAAAGAAAATTGGAAAGAAAAGATTTGAAGGAAAAAAGTAGATAAAAGAAAGAAAAAGAAAAGACAATGTTAATAAAAGAAAACATAAAAGAAACGGGCGAAAAAAAGAACAAAAGACACAATATGAACGAAAAATAAAAAAGACAGAAATGGACAGGAAACAAAAACTCAGTGTAAAATTCAAAATGGCGGAAAGAAGAAAATATGGAGGCAAAGAAAAGAAGTATAGATCTTGAAATAGGTAGGGAAATAAAAGAAGGAATATGATGGAAATGGCGTGACAATAGAAACATGGAGAGCGAGGTTTATTTTGGAAAGAAAGACAAGATGGATGACAAAACTGAAAGAACGAAGGAAAAGCGAACGGAATTGCAAAAAAAGAAAAAAAAAAGAAACAGAAAGATAGGTTGGAGAATCAGTGAAATATTTTTACCAGATATAATCTCGAGCAGCAATCTCTCGATCTCACCAGGAAAAACGTTAATCTTTGAGTGTGTAGGGTGATGAGAGTCTGGGGTCGAGAAATAGCAGTTGGCGTTAAAAACAAAGAAAACTAAAGCAGAATTTTCGAAACAAAAAAAAAAAAAAATACAGGCAAAGTGAAGCTGCGTTTTTGCCTGAAACAAGTCGTAGGTGAGAATGCATGGCGCACGGGGTCATGAAAAAAGAAACAAACGAAAAGACATTAAAAAATTTTTCTAACGATAGGAACTAGTAAGACCCGAACTAAAGGCAAATAGCGAATCAAAAATAAAGAAAATAGATTAAAAAATAAAACAAACCTAAAAAAAAAAAAATTCGAAACTTTTCCAACGGACTACTCTGAGTAGAAATTGTAGAACTCTAAAAGTAAGTGATCCCAAAGGAAAAAAAATGTATTTGGTTTTATCAAAGGGCCATGAGAGACTCGCCAAAGGCTGAGATGTGCGATGAAGCTGATATCCAATGAGAGAGAAAAAATCTACTTCAATAACAAAAGACAGAATTCACGCCAAGAATTCTTTCTAAGGCTCTTATTCTAAGACATTCTGATAATGAAAAGATTCGCTCGAATTTCTGTGACCAACTTTTTAAACCTGATACCGAATTCAAGAACATTTTCGACGCTTTCCACAAATAAAGTTCATTGAGTATAATTTGAAAATTTAATAGACAGTAGAACCAGTACCCTTATTAACGTCACAGTAAGTTTGGCATTTCTTTATTCTTCTCTCCTCGACACTTGGTGAGGGTGGACAAGAATCCGGGAGGCTTGTTATTACATAAAAAAACTACAACACTTTGGTACTAATGAAATTGTACTGTTGTTTAATACTCTGCTTAGCTTCTGAGAGGCATCTTTTGCTATTCTAATGCGTCTTCGGATTTCGGTGTCACATTATTCGTCAACTGTTAAAACAAGTCCCAGATATTTTCTCTTCTATACTTGATTGATGTTGACATTTCTAAATCGTAGCTTGCATCTTGAGCTTTTCTCCTCTTCACAATCTTATATTCTATGTTCTTACAATGTAGCAAACACATATAAAGGAGGTCGGTCCAATGCTACATATCGGCTCGGAATCAGAAATCGGAAAGCCGAGATCGAATTCCAGTCGGGTTCATTACATTCAGTTACGCGAAATTAACCTTTGCAAAAGGTATGAATCCATCACCACACCACAAATATGGGATAAATATTAAGACTTTTATCTGGAAAATCATTCTTATCTCCCAAAAACAGTTAATGACATATTTGCTCAAAAAAGGTAAAAAAAAAAAGTATTGGTCTTGCAATCCATCTCCTCCCCCCATCTATGGGATAAATAGTAAAACTTATATATGGAAAAATCATTGTTATTCAAAAAAAAATTCTTAATGCAATATTCACTTCCTTAAAGTATAAATGAATTGTTCTGACAATTCATAGCCCCTCCTTCTATGGGATAAATAGTAAGATTTTCATATCAAAAAATCATTGTTTTTCCTTAAAAATTCTTAATACAATATTCACTCACAAAAATGTTTCATATAAAAGAAACCTACAAAGGGCTGATAAGCTACAAAAAAAAAATAAATAAATAAAATAAGACTCCATCAACATCAATGAACCAGCGGTCAGTATATTCCTTAGAATTTGGGAAAAGATAAACCACCAGGGTGCTGCTGCTAACTCCACAAAGCCGGCCACAGTAAAATCACGTGAGCTTGTAAAGTAACCAATTCAACCCTGACTGCCATAGTGGAATGAAGAGTCACAGTTTCGAGTTGATGGTAGTTATAAGTTTTGGTGCAGACCCCGAGGCCATGAACGCGTATAAAGTAACTACCTGACTCACCTTGATATCCTCTACGTTTACAAGAGCCAGATCAGGTCAAAAATGTTTTCATATTTAGCCATGAGCTGCCCAGAGCACATTCTCCAGCTCTCCGGGGCCTTGTGAGTGTCGAATTCTTCTACGCCCTTCAACCTCTATCCCACAGTCGGGATGTGGACAGCCTCTTGGTGCTCTATCGCTACCTCCACAGAAAGTGCTCGGACGAACTACAGTCCTTGGTTCCACCAGGTCTACCCTTCACAGCAAGGACACACCCTGCCACTTACATCGTAGCAAATCACCCACTTTCCCCCCGTGTTCCGTTGGTGATGGGTACGTTTCACTCGAACAGCTTCTGCCCGCGAACCACTGCTATGTGAAATCGACCCTGAAGAGGATGTTTCCCTGATCACTCCTATCCTAACCTGTTCAAGGTTAGGGTTAACCGTTATCTTCTCCTCCTATCCGCAGAAATCGCCTCCTCGTATAACCGTATACCGTGAGAAACCACCGCCCCTTGTAAAGAGTGAACCTTACTGTAAAAAAAAAAGAAGAAAAGGTTAACTGCAGAATTAATTTGAGGAGAACTTTAGTGATTAGCCATGAAACATTGTGGAGAGGTTTATTTACATAAAAGGTCCCTACCTTACAAATATCAAAGAGATGTAGATAGCTATTGAGATGGCATGCCAAAAGCCTTACATTCATTTATCGAACAGAGGCCATGTTGGGTTTATTTCATCTTGTCAAACAAGCTTGGTTCTTTCACAATATTATAGAGATCAACTCAACTCACAATTTGCTCAAATTATATGAGAGTAACTCAACTTTGAGAGTTGAGTTTCTAACGTCCCAAGGACACATGGCCCAATAGACAAATGCGGAGGTTGACTTGTTCCAAAGAGTTATCCCAGTGACTTGTTCCAAAGAATTATCCCAGTGACTTGTTCCAAAAAGTTATCCCAGTGAAATGTCCCAAAGAGTTGCCCTCAGCAGATGTGAAAAAACAAAACTAAAAAAAAAAACTTGAGTTACTAAAGGGAGATTACTGAAACTGAGAAATCCAGAAAAGGCGTGGAATGTGACCAATCTACCCCCGTGGATTAAATGAAGTGTTCGATACGAAATTTTAAGGTATATCACCTGAAGAAGACCAGAGTGTACAGCGGCCGAAACGTTATGAAGGTGAGGACAACAGTCCGAACAACGTAAATCGTGCAAATCAGGTTTCTTTAGTTCAGGATTGTAAAAAAAAAAAATTCATATAATTTTTCCAGAACTATCGGTTTACCGAGAGAATGGATCTTAAGAGATTCTATCAATAAAATCCATCTACCAGGTTGACCGATATTTTCAGGAATCGGAATCCTGACACAACGCATTTCAGGTTACATTGACCAAATCCCCAAACCTCTGCTACCAACAATTCCGTGTTATATAAAAGACATTGACCATTTCTTAAGAATTCTGAAAAATATGAATAGATTACTAAACGATTCATTCCTAGCGACCATCGATATGTCATCCATATAATCTAACATCAGAAAAGAGGAGGAAATACTACACTGTAAGATTTTTTACGTATCAGAGTCTTTCAGAAATAAAGCACACAAGACACTATTTACATTATTCCGATTTCCTCATTTGTGTTGCCATATTTATCATTATTCCGACTATTGTCATCATCTGTGTTGCCATAATTATCCAAATTTCGCCTTTAAATATGGCAACTATGAAGACAATAGTCCGAATAATGTAAATAGTGTATATAATACCTCATCTCAGAAATATAGATACTGAAAGGCTAAACGTTGTCATCAAATATTGATGAGGACAATCCGAATAATTAAATAGTGAATATAATATTCATCTCAGAAATATAGACAGATATTGAAGGTCCTAAACGTTGTAATAAATATGGCAACAAAGATGAGGACAATAGTCCGAATAATGTAAATAGTTTATATAATACCTTATCTCAGAAATATAGACATATACTGAAAGGTCGAAACGTTGTAATAAATATGGCGACAAAGATGAGGACAATAGTCCGAATAATGTAAATAGTGTACATAATACCTAATCTCAGAAATATAGACAAACACCAAGACATCTCACAGAAAAAGTATTTTCTTCAAGAGAGGCAAAGATGGATTGAAAATGGTCAGCTAAATATATTTGTGAATGCTTTGGGATGAGATATGTTGAGTAGATGCCACCAAGTAACCCTTACACAAGTACAGATACATTGATGGTATCTTCTTTATATGAGAGAATAAGACCTTAAAAACACCTAAATAGTTTATCAAATATAATTAAATATTCCACCATTTCTATTCTCAGAAATAACGACCACATAGACACTATACACCAAACTGAAAGATAACCATTGTCATGAAACAATAGTTCCCACCTAATAAAATGATCTACAGCAAATGTTTACGCAAAAACGATGTATGGAAGATTACAAAAACACATAGGACAAACTGCGCCGAATAATACGCATTTTTCTAAAAAAAAAATAATAAGCAAAATATTATGCCATAAAAATTGCGGTTTCACCAATCATCTCTCACCACAAGAAACATAGACAAACATTCCAAAAAACTATCAAAAAAATCAATTAAATAAAATAAGAATTATCATAAAAAGAAATTAGAAAATATTATTCTAAAAAACATATGAAAAACTACAAAGATTGAAATTTTATTCAAAAACAGAATGAGTCACATGTATTTTTTTATTTTAAATTTTGATTACAATTAAAACTTGAATAAGAGTCAAACAATTTATAGGGTTTGATTACCCAAGGGGTGCGTATATCTTAATAAAAGTATTTTCCCATTTTCAGAACAATTTTAGGGGTATTTGAAGGCGTAAACTCAATAGGAATTATCCCTTAAAACTACAAAAAATCAATTACTAAGGAAAAGAATAGAAATTCATGAAACAAAACAAAATAAATTCCAGAACCCAATATTCATAAGCTTCCCCAT